TCCTTTCTGTTGTTAGAGTAGAAAGAAAAAAGTAGAAATATTAGTTGACTATTTAGGAGGTCTTTAGTCTTCTAAGGCCTACTGAGTTGCGTCCGATTTTATCAACATCATCTAGTCAGCTCCTAAATTTTAAACTTTCTCCTGATTGCATTTATCCCATCTCCAGCTCCTTAAATCCCCTTCACCATTCTAGGAAAATTTAGAGAGTTATTTACAGCAAATAAGCCCCCAACTGATGTATATCTCTATGAAAATATAATTTTAAATATATCTATTAATATGTTTTATATATTTATATTTAAATTTATAAATATTTATAATTTAAAATATATTAATTTATTTCATAAATATATTTAAATATACATTTATATTTACATATATATTTAAATATAAGTTTAAAGGGGGCCATAGCTCTCAGATTTTCTTATAGGCATTTGTGGGTGCTTGTTTGCAAGGTTACATTCAAGGGTCACTGCCCAGAACCCAGATTTTAGAAATTCTGATGGGAAAGAATGACAGGAAGGGCAAAGGACCAGCAATCATGCTATTGATGTCAGCAGTTCCTCAACTCAGTAACACTTGCATCACATCTATAGGGGAATATGAGCTATTTTTAGAATTTTGTTTCCTATGTTCTGACAAGAACCCTTCCCTTTTCTTTTTATATCAAGGTTTTTTTTTAAGTGAATGGTTTTGAGTGGAAAATGCCCTAGAGCAGTAAGAGGAGGAAGGAAGCTCCAGAAATCCTCAGTGATGAGAACAGGAGTTCCAGATTTTACAGGAATCTTGTGTGGTTCTGTGCATGTGTGTGCATGTGTTTTTGAAGTTGGAGTGGAAGAAAGAGAGGGTGGAGTTCAGAGAATTTTATTCTTCTCTGCTAATTCTCAACACACCCAGGATAAGGGGAAATTTTGGGAAGGGCCTGAGAAAGCATGGAAGGTCAGATACAAGCTGAGGCCCAGTTTGAAAAGCTATTTAAGACCCCCTCACCTTAAACCAGCAGAGGTCAGCCAGTGGTCAGGTTGGAAAGTCTCTACCCACCTCTGAGAGTGAAGTTCATGATGGAAACTTCACCAGGCCTTTAGCCAGAAAGAGAAGCATATCCTATTGGGGGGGAAAAAAACCCTTCTAAGTATGTCTGTCTACTCCTAACTTTCTCAAGTCCAGGTTTGAAAAAATAAATTGAGACCCCTGTACCACCTTCTATGTATTTGAAAGTTCTAAGTCAACCTAAGTGGCTGTTAAATTAGATATGTTTTTATCATCTTACTTGGATTATAATAGTTCAGAAGACCAAGTTCAAATTCAGAATTTTCAGACTCTGCTCAGAGTAATGTTCTTGACTATGGCAGCATGAGAGAGCTGCTCCCGGGCCCCCCAGACCACGGCCTGCTCCCCATTTCCATAATGTGATGAGCCACGAACACATGGTGTGTACCCCAGCCTGCCCGTCCATAGACCCACAAACAGCAATTCTACGGCTAGCCCTTGGGTCCAGGGTTGGGTCATCCCTTGGATGAATTTTACAGAGAGGAAGAGGGAGGAAGAGGGTGAGCTCATGAGTCACAGTGCAAGTAACTGGTGGCTGGGAGGAGAAAAGCAGGGAGACTGAATGCCCAAAGCAAACTGTATTTTAACTCAGCTTGGGGTGAGCGTACTTTCTCTGATTCGGTCTCAGATTTCACACTGGACAGACTTCACAGTAGGATAAACCCAGAGGAAGTCTAGGAGAAACAGCTGTTTTTAGCAAGAGGGAGCCGAGCTCTTTAAAAGAGCTGAAAGAACTTAGGAACCAGAAAACTGAATTGTGGTCTCATATCTATCATTCATCCCCCAAACTTGTGGGGCCGTGGGAAAGCACAAATGGAGATCCTCACACCACACATCCAGCTATGTGAAAGGTAAAATCAAGTTTCAGATTGTTAAATAAAATATGTCCCATCCTGTTACTTTGACAAATACGCCTTCATAATGCTCTTGAAGGCCAGGTACAAATTCAGAATTCTTGGCCTCTTCAAAGTTGGTGTGGAAAATCATGGCACCAGGAGCCCCTCCCTGCCCCACACCCTGACCCTAGCTCTTCCAGCCTTTGACTCCTTCCTACACACTGAGGAATCTCACACACATGTGTATCAACATCCAAGGTATGTTCAGGGCCCTCCCTACTCCCTCCCACTTCCTATCCTTGATAAAAACTGCTTAGAGGCCTAAGGATATGCATACCACCAGTATGGTTCACTCACTGGAGGACTGACCCAGGGGAAAGGCCCCAGCAGGTAAGTCTAGAAGCAGCTAAGCATGGTAGGCCACAGGCTCCAGGTAGGCGTATCTACTTGGCCCTGCCAACTCCTCTCCGGGGAAGGGTGCAGTCAAGGACAGGCTGCCAGTACTACTACATATGCTCCTGTCCCCCAAGAACAACCTGCCCCTGGAGGCCTTCATCAGGCATTTGAACTCTATCATTGACCCCAGGAAGAAGAATCTGAATGAGATGTTGCTTTGAGAGCCACCATGATTCAGGCTTCTCAGCCTTCTTGTCCCCTGAAAACTCGTCCAGTGGGGACAGGAAATTGGGAGCTGAAAAGCTTGACCAATTCAGGCTACCTGCTGAGGAGAACCGTCAGCTACTAGGGAGACATGTGCTTCTAGATCTCAGGGCTGGGAGGTCTCTGAGGCTTTATCCTTGGCCAAGAAGTTACCGCTGTGGCATGTAATAACTAGTGGGGAAGAGGAAAGAAAATTTTATTAATAAAAAATAAACTTTGTACTGGTAAAAGAATAGACAAATAGATCAATGGAATTTAACAGAGAACCCAGAAATAGACCCACATAAATATAGTCAACTAATCTTTGACAAAGGGCAAAGGCAATACAATGGAGCAAAGATAGTCTTTTCAACAAATGGTGCTGGAGCAACAGGACATCTACATGCCAAAAAAAAAAAAAAAAAAAACCAAAACACAGACATTACACCCTTCATAAAAATTGACTCAAAATGGACCACAGACCTAGATGTGAAAGGAGAAACTATAAAACTCCTAGAAAATAACACAAGAGAGAACATCGGAGAAATGACCTCAAGTTTGGTGACGGCATTTTGATACCACACCAAAGGCATGGTCCGTGGAGGAGCTGAAAAACTGGACTTCATTAAAATTAAAATGTTCTGCTCTGTTCAGGATGCTGTCAAGAGAATGAAAAGACGGGTCCCAGACTGGGAAGACATATTTGCAAAAGATATGTCTGATAAAGGACTATTATTCAATATATAGGAAGAACTCTTAAAACTTAACAGTAAGAAAACAAACAACCCAATTAAAAAAAATAGGCCAAAGATCTTAATCATCACCTCACCAAGCAAGATATACAGATGGCCAATAGGTATATGAAGAAAATGCTCCACATTACAACTGAGAAATGCAGATTTTTTAAAAATGAGTATGACATACCTATAAGAATGGCCAAAATCCAGAACGCTGGCAACATCAAATGCTGGTGAGGATGTGAGGCAATGGGAACTCTTAAACACTGCTGGTAGAAATGCAAAATGGTCCAGCCACATTGGAAGACAGTTTGGCAGTTTCTTATAAAATTAAACATACTCTTACCATATGATCCAGCAATATGATCTGGCAGTTGCACCGCTTGGTGTTTACTTCACAGAATTGAAAACTTATAGCCACATAAAAACCTACATGTGCATGTTTATAGCAGCTTATTCATGACTGCCAAAACCTGGAAGCAACCAAGATGTCCTTTAGGAGGAGAACAGATAAATAAACTGTAGTCTATCCAGACAATGGAATATTATTCAGCACTAAAAAGAAATGAATGAGCTATTAAAGCCATGAAAAGACACGGAGGAAACATAAACCCATATTACTAACTGAAAAAAGCCAATCTAAGAAAGTTACATATTGTATGATCCTAACTATGTAACATTTTGGAAACGTCAAAACTATATAGACAGTAAACAGATCAGTGGTTGCCAGGGGATGGGGGAAGGGAGGGATGAACAGGTGTCATAATACATTTGTCCATAAAATACACAACACCAAGAGCAAACACTAATGGATACTATGGTTTTGGGGTGATTATGATGTGTCAGTGTAGGTTCATCAATTGGAACAAATGAATCACTCTGGTGGGGGGGTGTTAATAATGGGGGAGTTTATGCATATGTAGGGGTAGGGGAAATTTAGGAAATCTTTGTACCCTCCTTTTAATTTTGCTATGAACCTAAAACTTCTCTAAAAAGTAAAGTCTACTTAAAAAAAAAGAAAGCACCTAGACAAAACAGAAACCAAAAACCCCACAAATTTGGATCAATCATGCTACATAAAGGATTGAATTATCTTTCTAGTCTCTATATGGGCTGTATTATCAATAATCCTTATCAGCCATAAATGTAGGGATGATTACGGCAGAGGAATATAAGACAGACACTGTTTCAACCTTATTTTCAAAAAATACTTTGCTATAGACAAATTTGTGTCCCCTCAACATTTGTACGTTGAAATCCTAACCTTTGATGTGATGGTATTAGGAGGTGGGGCCTTTGGGAGACGAGTAGGCCGTGAGGGTGGTGGAGCTGTCATGAATAGATTAGTACCCTAATAAAACAGACCCCGGAGACCTCCCTCACCCCTTCTGCCAGGTGAGGACGCGGTGAGAAGGCGGCTGTCTGTGAACCAGAAAGTCCCCACCATACGTGAAATCTGCCTCGATCTTGAACTTCCTAGCCTCTAGAAATGTGAAAATTTCTGTTGTTTGTAAATCACCCAGTCTATCATTTTCTGTTACAGGAGCCTAAAAGGACTAAGATAGAAATCCAGGAAGAAAAACAAATAAACAAAACAACACACAGTCAGTGCCCTACCCTTTTCTACCGTTTCTGTGTAATAATTGTTAGTAGTTTTTGAGCATTCACTGTGTTCCAGATACTAGTGTGCTTGTTTGATGTTGATTATCTCATGCAATCCTCTTTATTCCCATTTCAGAGATGGGCAGGAAGAGGTTAAAGAACATGCCAGAAGGCACTCACAGACAGTACTTGATGGAGCCAGGGCTGGAACCCAGGTGTCCGGTTCTCAAGAACACACTCTTACGCACTGGGCCTCACCGTCTTCCTGGATCCTCACTGAGCATGGAAAGAAAAAGCCATGTACTAGTCCCAGCTTCGAGTCCTGCAGCCCTGGGCTGATGGATTTGATCTCGTGTTCTCATCTGTAAAACAGAGGAAACGGCATCTCTCTCCTGGGGCTGTTATGAAAACTGGAGGAAATAAGGTATGAAAAGTGCCCAGCACAGTGACAGCACAATGCTAGGTGTCCAATAACGGTTGGATCCTCCCTTCCCTCTTTCCTTCCTTCCTTCTTTTCCTGGCTACTTGGCTATTTTCTTTGCTTTCTTTTGGCTACTTTAATGTGTAATTCACAGAAATAATGTTGATTTTCCTTTGGGCACATTTACTAACCAAACACGTCCCGCTACCTGCCCTATCTTGTTTCTACTGTGACCACATGTAGGCTCATTCTGTTTGCTTTTGTCCTAGGCCAGCACAAATCTTTTTTTGTTAGGGGGAGGAGAAAGCAGTGTCATTTACAAATTAAGTAATTGAAAGTACGAGGCCCTGTGGGCCATCGTAACTCTGTCATCACTCTTGGAAATGCTCTTACCAAGCGCGAGTCATTTTCGCCGGAGTCAGCAGTTCTGCTTTGACGCAGGACAGAGTAATCCCCTGAGGAAGTCTGTGCTTCAGTTCCTGCACAGACGGTTTAAGGGTGGCGTTCATCTAGTCTGGGCTGCCTCCTCCTTTCTGAAACTACGAGCCTCATGAGCTGCAGGTCCCTGATTTTCCAGGTGGGTCACAGGATCTGGAGGGCCAATTTCCTTTCCTATTTTTAAAATAAAAGTATTTTATCCTTTGCTCAAGGTGATCAAAAGAGCCTTCCATAAATGGGGGAAAAAAGAAGAATTGACTCCTTAAAATCAGAGGAGCAGAGTGATCAGAGACGTATTTCATCCCCGGCAGCTGTGTCTCCATTCAGTGGGTGGATTCAGGACAGAAAAGTCTGAGTTGCTTGCTCCTTCCACTGGGCAGGGATCTCCCTCTTTCCTAACCGAAAGACAGACTGTTCCACCCACCAGAGATCCCTCCCGGGCTGGCCCGAGCTATTTGCGTCACGTCTGCTTCCTTCCTGCCCCAGTTGCATCGCTGAAGCAGAAGCCCGGGAGGGAGCTCCTCCCTGCCAGTTTCTCCCAGTTGTTACTACTTTGAAAAGGGAAACCAGCCAGCTGCTTCCTTTACTTAGCACGTTCCCCAGGGAGCGGCAGCTACCTGCTGGATTCCCCGCTCTCGGGAGCCTAGGGCTCCGAAGCATAGCCCAGCTTCCTGCTTTCAGGCTGTCAGAGCCCAGCCCCACCCTCCAATCTTTGTTGACCTGCCTTTATTACCTGAACTGCCAGGTTCTTCAGTAGTAGTTAAGAGTCCTCCTCCCTAATACCCAAATAAGGAGGCTGGTTCCTGTTCCTGGAGAGACCGAGGGCCCTGGAGTAGACACCAGGTGATTCTGACACCGGGGACTTGGAATAATGATTCTTCTTGAAATCTGCAAAATATGCAAATGGAACGCTGACTCATGCCTAAGGGTGGCTTTGCACCTACCAACTGTCCACCCCGTTCCCTTTCTGAACTCCTTGTTATGTAAAGCCTGACAAGGATTTTTTTTAAGCCTGGAAAGGACACCCCAGCAGGTTCTCTTTAATTTCTAGTGCTCCTACAGGTTGAGGGAGACTCCAGTTTGCAGACCTGGCTGTGAACATCCGATTACACTGATCCAGCATCCCAGCTTAACCCTCTCCTCCCTCTGGTTTGGATACGTTGAAGAGTGGTACCCTTCTCAGCTGAACGCTGCAGAACTATGTCATGGACTCTCTGCCTGGGTTTGCTGGCCTTGCAGACTCCTCAGGCAGGCCTTGCCCTCAGGCGGGGAGAGCGGAGCCAGGTTCTTATGAATGAAGAGGAAAGAATCGTCACAGGACACACCTCACTGCGCCTTTTCTTAGCCGGCTTCCCCGGTATTGACTTGTGCTAACAAAGAAAGGGAAATTTCTTGGGTGGAAGTTTCCACACCTTAGGATAAACTTGCTCAATCCTGAAGCCTATGAGGAATGTTCTGCCCATAATCAATTATGGGCAACTTAATTCCTTGCATTCCAAACATTGTTAGCCGGGACACATACCTAAAGGGTGATTTGCAGAAAGAAAAATAAAATATTTAACACCACGTACTTTTTCCATTGAATACTCCAACATAGTACCTTCTTAAATTCAAGTTATCAGATATTTTCATAAAGTTCAGGATCTTGTCTTCATTGCTGAGAACTAGCCTCAAAAAATTTTTTTAAGTAAATAAGAGTCTCAAAGAATAAAAAGAATTTTTAACTTTTTTGAGGGCACATTTTTGGGGTCAAGGACAAAGCTAGAAACAACTAGATGTCATCAGTCTTTCAGTCAAATACTATTCCAAGCAGACAGAACTGAAGAGAACTCTCTTCAGTTTATGGCTGCCTCACTGGAGATCCAAAACTCACTTTCTGACTGCTGTGGAATGGCTCACACACAACCCTTATGGCTAAGGGGGAGCTAGCTAGGTCAACGACGTAACAGAACTCAGCTGGAACCAGGCACTCAGTGTTGTCAAGACTCTCTTTCAGGCTCTTCTGCATCCCTCTACATATGGACCTCATCCTCTCTCACTGCTGAGTGGCTTTCTCCATATTTGGGTAAAACACAGTCACCAACAACACTTGAATTTGACTTCTTGCAACCTCTACCACCAGAGATAGTCTAACTGATCTCTCTCTCCACCCCCCACCCCCCACCTGATCTCTCTCCTCAAGCCCAAAAGTCCGTGGGCAGAGAATTCACTGATTCAGCTTGGGAGACCCAGGGCATGGTCTACTCTGACCAGACACTTGGAACAATGAAATACGGTCATGGACAATCAAAATGGTTTGAAAGGCTGGAGTGTGGAAATAACCAGTGGCTCAGATCATGCCTGGTCCCCTAGAACAGATCTGGGTTTTACTTTGAAGGTAATGAAGGAATCATGGAACAATATTAAGCAAGGTAGTGGCAGAAGAGAGTATATATTAATGAGCGCACTGTAATGTGGCAGAGAAGGCTTGAGTGGTTGAGTCAGTTCAGCCAGGCATCAATGAGCTACAGTGTCTCCCTTCCACATGTCTGTGCCTTAGGCAAGACTCAGACACGGAGCAGCCACCACGGGGGCCCCAGCGTTAGCCTTTAGCCAGATCAACAGCCAGGATGCTGTGCCCCTTGCATTGGATGGGCAGAACCCAGTGGAACACCCTGATACCTGACCAAGGGGAGAGGGAGGGAACATTTGTGGTTTCTGCTCTCGAGGAGGCCTTGTCCCCACGCCCTCTCTGCCCCACGCTAGCTGTGAGAGAATGCACAACAGTGGTACTAGGGAGCAGCCTTCATTTCTTTCCCTGCAGTTATAATGACTCACCCTCAAGTGAGGGGAAAAAAATATATTTAATTTCATGTTTAGGTGTGAAGGAAAAGCCGGGCTGGACTAACTCATAAATCTAAGTTAATTAAGTGTCAGTTTGCTGATTCCCTGCTCATGTTTGTTTATTTTTTGCTAGCCAGCTGGATTTTCAGAGAGACATATCTGGCCTTGAAATGTTGGTTTGCTGCCTCCCTGCCTCTGCTTTTGTGATAATGATGCTGCTAAAGCTGTTCCATGCCTACTGGCCGAATACCCCAAGCTTGTAATTAACCCTATAACACCTCATGCGCACTTCTTGGAGGTGCTCAGAGCTTTGG